GTCCTTTGACGTCTTTTATCGGTCCTGCATCCAGCGAGCGTACGAGGTGATCCAATTCAAGCTGGACTACGAGCGTCGCAACCCCAACGATGTCTTGAGTGCAGCGGGAGTGTACCAGAAGTGGGTTGCGAACGTGCAATTCTCGACAATGGCAACCGGAGAGAGGGCTTTCCGGCAATCGTTCGTCGACTCTTGCCTCACAGTCTACAACAGGATTTTGTGCATTGAAGAGCTGCAGAAGATCATCTTGCAAGGCGAGGAGAAGAACGGCAAAGATAATGTCTGGTCGAGCATTTATCAACTTGAGGAAGTTTGCAAGAAATGCGGTCAAGGTCCAGGGTCGAAGGAAAAGCTGATTTGGTGCATTTCTGGGATTCAGGACCAAACCGAGAACGACATGCTGCAAATCTCCAGCTGTACCACGCGGAATCTGAAAGGCCAAGGCCTCCCATCGAACAAGGGCACGGTGGACCTCTTCATTTTCAAGCTGGGGTTCAAGAACTTGGCTGTGTCAACATGGCTTGAGGATGCAGGCTCAGCTGTGCCCCCAGAGGAGAGGCAGACTCTAAGAAAGGCCTTTGACAGCTTTGCTGAGTATCGGCAACACTTCGGCTGCCATGACGAGCGTGATACCGTTGATCTTTCCTGGCTTGCACGGTTCTCGCCTACTACACGGGAGTACATCACCTTCGTTGAGGATTGTGTCTTCGCGAAGAAGCACGACCGAAAGTTGAAGTGTGCACTGTCTGCTGGCGCGAAGCCAGTAGATCTGCCAGACCGTGAAGAGTTCTCCGTGGACTTCAAAGCATTCAAGGCCGGCTGGCAAAAGGAGCGTGGGGACGCCCCTGAGCCGAAGCATGAGCTTTCGGAGGCATTGACGGGGACGGAGGAGAGTATCCAGGTGGGCCAGATCATTCAAGCTTCCATGATGGGGGGCCGGCTGAATGCTTGGCAGACTAAGGACCTGGCCAAAGCCCAGCACGACCAGGCCCTGCTTGCCAAGCATCTGAAGAGCTTGAGCGAAGACGAGATTGGATTGATCAAGGACTTGGAGACCAAGGCCTCACGTATAGTGAGGGCTGCGGTGAAGATCATCGTGGAGCCTGAGCGCCAAGCTGTTCTGCAGGAGGAGCTGAAGTCGTCCCCCATTGGGTCCCGGGTGGCCTCCAAAGACTTCCTGACTCTGGTCCTGTACGATCAGAAGACAGCGGGTGAGAGCATCACATGCCCGCATCTCAGAGTGCCGCCGCTGAAGGTGGAGAGGGTCAAAACCGCAATCCAGGCCACGTGCAACTTTCTCAGCTCTGGTGCTGAGCTGCCTTTCAACGGGATTTTCGCCATCACGGATGCCGGCAAGACCGGCAACGAACGAGCAATTCTCAATTGCTTCGTCAATGAGGCTGGTGCATCGATGGCAAAACACCATAAAAGCCTCTATGTTGCCTACAAAGAAAGCGATTTGGCAGCTCGCTTGGAGAAGTTCAAGTCAACGGCTCAGCTGAATCAGCTGGAAACAGTGCACATCGTCACGTCTTCTGCGGCCTCGAAGCAGAAGAGACGCCCTCGCCGAGCTGGGCACCTGAAGGGTGAGACCAGCTCAGGCAACATCCTCACTGGGGTACCGTTGCCGGATGCGAGTGCTGCGTGGTCTGAGTCGGTGGTGACCAAGAAGGCCATCTTCGGGAATCAGATGAGGATTGCAGTGGGAGGGCAGACGGACGGAGAGCCGCTGTACAACAAGGACGATGACCAGGAGCCCGTGTTCTGGCATATGAGTTCCCCTGTGCTGCTCGAGGAGCTTCTTCGAAGCGAGTGCTGGGCTGATGCCCTGCTGGACTGGACACCCACAGATGTCGCAGCCAAGAAGGCCATGGATTTGGGCATTCCGTACGTTGCCGTAGCCTACACGGAAACCCACAAGGAGCTGCTCATGAAAAGATTGGCCACGATGGTTGCTAAGGACATGCTGACGGAAGGCCACAGTCTCTACTGTGCGGAGGTTGCCAAGATTCTGGAGGTGCCTGGTATGGCCAAAAAGCCCTTGCCGAAGGCAAAGGCTGCGGCTGCAACGACACCGCCGAATCCATCCCCGGCGGATTCATCGCAGAATAAGAGAAAAGCAACTGCTGAGCCAGAGTCGGCAGACGATGACAAGAATGATAGTACCCACGCCAAGCTCAGGGCACGGCTGCAGGAGCTGTCCGGTAAGAAGTGAACACGTTTTCCTCATGCAGCAGAAGCAATTTTGCACGTGACTGTTAGGTTCACACAGTCAGTCTCGTGGCGCCTGCTGACATGCACTTTGGTTCACAAGCTTGGTTTTGCAGAGGGCCAAGGATGCCATTTCAGATGCGTTGCAGAGCAACAGACAAGGAGAGCTTGCAGATGAAAGACAAGTGCATGCAGCGCCTGCGACAGGTCCAGAGAGTGCTTTCGCTTCCATCATCGTTAAGCCAGCCGGTGCCAAGCTAATTGCGTGTTTCATTCCTAGTTGAGTTGGCTGCAGCCTGTGTCATCATGGCATGGCGTCATCATGCCAGCTGTTGATGTTGCTCTGCAGTGTTTGACTTCACAAGGCGGTCGAGATGTAAGTCCCGCCATGGACGATGAAGACCAGGTGATGGCCTATATGCCTCGCAAGAGGCATCGGGCCTTGACAAGAGTTGGATCCAATGACTCTGGCACAAGGCAGCCGAGGAGTCGCTGTGTCAATGGCCGCGTTAATCTGGAAGGGACGAATGACTCCTTGCTGCCTTTGCCGCAGAAGGCCTTCCAGCACTGTGGAAAGCCAGGGCTGTTAGTTGGGTCAGCTTGCTCGGGGTGGTCATGCGAATCCCAGGCACTTACCAACTTAGAGGTGCCACACACAATTTCCTTCCTCTGTGACAGTGACCGTCATGTGGAGAAATGGCTGCGCCACAATGTCGTTTTCGAGCGGTTTCATCGAGATGTGTTCCATGATGCCTTCATGAACGAGCAGAAGGTAGATATTTTTGCGGCAGGCCCTCCTTGTCAACAATTTTCTCCGGAGGGTGCAAATGCAGGAGATGATGATTCCAGAGCCCATGTTATCCAGCCGATCAAGACCTACATCTGTCAAGCTCAGCCTAGAGCCTTCATACTGGAGAACGTGGCTTCGTGGAGCAAGTCGGATATCTTCAGGCAGACCATGGATGATCTGGGCGGTCTGCAAAATGAGGATGGGTTGCCGGTGTACAATATATACCGCAAAGTCCTGCAGACGTGTCATTATGGAGTGGCCCAGAACCGCAGCAGGCTCTACATCGTCGGCCTCCTCGCCGACGAAGACAAAGGCTTCAAGTTCCCGGAGGCGTTCAATGAGAAGCCAGACATTGCAGATCTTTTGGATTCGAGAGAGCTGCCTCGACCGATCAAGGACATTTCAGAGATGAGCCCTGAACTTGCGAACTCGGCTTCCAAGACACGACAAAAGTGCCTGGCCGCAGTCCTCAGCCACTTCGAGAAAACGGGTGAGTGCCCTTGGACATCCCACATCATCGTGGACACTCAGCATGGGCGGAGTGATGCGCGCTTTTACAAAGATTGCTTTCCAACTCTTACGGCCGCTCGTTGCCAACAGCGAGCCTATTTCAATTTGAGGTTGAACCGCTATCATACCATGTCTGAGCTTTTCCGTGCACAAGGTGCAGACCCGGAGGGTATGGACATGACTTGCATTTCGGAACACCAGCTGGGGCACCTGGCTGGAAATGCCATGAGTGTTAATGTGATGACTCACCTTTTGGGCTCCATTATGCTGAGCTGGTAGAAGGCTTGCAAAGATTCAGCTGAGGTGGCATGACCCACACTGACGCAGTGGATCAGTTGGAAAACGGCACCCTCTCTGTGAGCCGGCTTCGAGTGTTTTACAAGGGGGGGTAATTTACCCCCCTCGGTAAAACACTCGGGGGCGCTCCCGAGTGTTTTACCAGGGAGGGTAAATTACAGATGCTGCGCCCCTGAGAGTTTGTAACTTTACAAAGTCCCCGCCCCGGGGGAGTTGTAGATTACCCCCCACCGTAAAACACTCGGGAGCGCCCCCGAGTGTTTTACGGAGGGGGGTAAATTACCCCCCCTTGTAAAACAGTCGACCCTGAACCACAGTTGGGGTGAGTGTGCTGGCAGCTGGAACTTGAAACATGCCTGGTCATGTATCGACACCACCATATTTTTCTCTCTCTGACAGACACTCTCTTTGTCTCATTCTTCGCAAAATTGATCCTCTCTCTCTCTCTCTCTCTCTCTCTCTCTCTCTGTCTTTTTCTGTCTCTCGAGTCTTGTGAGTGCAGGTTGCATATCTGCACCGAGAGGGTGCACAGGATTTGCATGACAGGCACTGACTGGGAGAGTCAGCACTTGACATGAGATAGCTCTTATCCACATCCACTGTTCAGAGCACATGCATGTTTCTCTTGTTTGCTGCAGGAGATTGCAGAATTTCAAGTGGAGCCGAGCAGGCACGTGCGGGATCCTGCAGGCTTTAACTTAATCTTACTTACAAATGTATTGTGTACAAAGGGAAGTAAGTATAATAGTAGTTGTCCCAACATTCCAAATCATAGTCACGAAATGCACTGAGAGAGTGCAGACGCCGGCACTGAGAGAGTGCCGGCAGTTGAATGTGCAATTCATCTGCGCAGAAGGCACTGAGAGAGTGCCAACAGAGGCATTACATTGGGAGAGTGCCAGCACAAAATTCGCATTCACAGCAGCTTGATCATGTGTCGAGGCAGTTGTCTGTTTTTGTTTTGGTGCAGGAGATTGCCGACGGACGTGGAAGTGGCCGAGCAGTCGAGCAGGCACCTGGGTTTCCGAAGGAATCCCTGTAATAATCGAACCGCATGCCTCTCGAATCTCAGACTTCTTGCTGAAAAGACTTCTTTTAATCTCCTCTTTTTATTTCTCGCAAAGCTTGAGGTTACATGCACGGCAACAAAGACATCGCGCAAACCCTATTGGAAATAAAGGTTTCATCCTTGTTAGAGGAGTTCGACCTGGATGCCAATGCGAGAGGACGGGTTAAACTGTGCGGCGCCGAGAGGGTGCAAATCGTCTGTACGATGCATTCAATAAAAACAGACCAGCGGTATTGACGAGCGTCAGCACTTGAACTGAATGCACTCACAGCAGCATGTGCCCTATCCTATTATTTCCATCTTGTTTTGTGGTGCAGGGAGATTGCACATGCCCCTGGAGCCGACCAGGCCCATGCGTTTCCTAGGGAATGCTTTGGGCTGTTAGTTGTAATTAAAGGAAAGTATCGAAGGAGCTTCAGCCGATGTCCCAGGATTCGTTTACCCCTTCCGGCCCCTCTCATGCTGTTTCCCCCACACGTTCCCCAACCCTAGAAGCCCCAAATGGCGGTACAGCCCTTGATCCCCATCCCCCATAGATCACTGCAATGCCCATCGATCGGGAGATTCTTCGGGAAGCGGAAACATTTCTTCATTATGGAACTGAAACATGGTGCTCAAGGTCCAACTGGACGTGTGTATGCTAGGAGCCAATTTTGTTGAAGGTACCAGACAAGACTTTCAAACACATTGTTTGCAAGTGGAATATCTTAGCAGTTGACATGGACGAGACTTTCCATAATAAAGTAGTATCACAGATCTTCGAGTGAGGTGTAGAAAGAAGGTCATGAGCTGTTTTTAGAGTGCACAATGGATGATGATGATGAGTGGTGCCTGCCAGTGGCAAGTGCTGTGTCACAGCCACCAGTGGCAAGCGCTGTGTCACAGCCACCGTCACTGCCACGTGGCAACAGTGCTGCAGCCTTGGAGAGTCCGTGTGAAAAGGGCTGCTTGACTCAGGAAGAATTTTGCAGACTGAAATTGAAGTGGGAGGGGAAATTGTTCATCGACCCTTCCCAGACCAGTTTGGGCACCTGGCTCTCAGGCAGAACGCAGAATGGGCGCTTTCTCGTGTTTTGTTCGGTATGCGCCAGGCTGAAGGATTCGAAGGATGGCCGTAGCAGAAGCACCGCCTGGGCCACCGGTTTTCAGCCTACCGTCAGAGTTCTGCTAAGGAAAAACCGTTACCCTAGACAAAATCCTAAACCCTAAACCCGAGAACGGAAAATGAATGCAATCCGAACTCGGTTCACTCATTTTCGATGGGATCGCAAAGATCGGCTGTGCAAGCATACAAACGGGTTGACCCGAGGATGCCTTCTGTGGGGTGGCGACTGTTGCACCACCCCACGGACAAAAGAACTACGAGTGAAGCTACAACACTTGAGTGACAGCTTCAGACTAAGGGAGCGACCAGAAGGGTCCTCCGGGACTGAGCAGTCCACGCTAGAGCAGAGGCTACAAGCAAGAGGTGACCTGCAGACTACGGCGGTGAAACGCATTGGGGCCAATGGCGGGCCCAACAGGGAGCACCGAACGACATGGTGCGGCAGCTGCGCGCTGCCGTGTGCAGCATTAGAAGAAGCAATGGTAATGTGAAGGCAGCAGCCTGCGCAAGCACATTGCCCGTGGCAGGATGCCAGGGGCAAAGCACAAAGTGAGAGTGAAGGTGCAAGGAAGGATAGCACGTTCGGTAAAGGCCGGGCCTAGCGAGGCCGGCGTGCACGCAAGCGAAACCAGGGCGGGTCGGGTGGGAAATCAAAATTGCGAAGCGACTTCGCTGCAACTTGATCCAAAGCGGAGTGCGGATGCACAGAGCTTCACGACATGTACCGAGGCAAGACGATGCAGGCACTGGCAAAAGCGAATAAAGGAAAACTTTCCAGTTTTACCAAAAGAAAGGAAACCGTTTTCCATTTGCAAAACACCAGTGGACAAGTCCACCCGTACGTTCTGCTAAGGAAAACCGTTACCCTAGACAAAATCCTAAACCCTAAACCCGAGAACGGAAAATGAATGCAATCCGAACTCGGTTCACTCATTTTCGATGGGATCGCAAAGATCGGCTGTGCAAGCATACAAACGGGTTGACCCGAGGATGCCTTCTGTGGGGTGGCGACTGTTGCACCAAGGTAATTTGCCACCCCACAGCACGCTCAAGAAAGCCAAGGAAGTGTGGGCTGAAGGGGGTGGCAGATTTCAGCGAAGCCAAGGAAGGGTGAAGCTGGAAGGGAAAATCTGCACCTCAGGACAAGGCTCCCAGAGAGCAGAGAGCCCAAAGCGTATGCGCTGGCATGGAAGGCAGTCTGGAGGTGTGGGGTACTCAGCCGGCCGGCTAAGTGCGTCGGCTTTGCAGTTCTTGGCACCTGGGACATGAGACACATCGATAGAGATGCGATGCATGGCCGCCAGGAGGGCGATGTGTTCAAGAACGAGGCCTAGGGGAAATTTGGTGGAAAACATCTTATTCAGACCTGCCTCCGCCCCTGAGTTATCGCAGAGGGACGGGAGGCGTAAAGGAACCCTGCTGCAAGGAGCCAGCCTAGAGAGAGCAAGAATCAGCCCCGCCTGAGCCAGGGCTTCACAACTGGCTATCTCCTTAGCCAGGTCATTGCCGAAAGGAATGCCTGCTGCTTCAAATTCCTGGACTGAAAAGGTTTCAGTGAACCAAACCTGGCCTAGAACCGGACAAGAAACAAAACCCCCCAAACTGCAAGATGGGCCGGACGCCGATGCATCGGCGAAGGCCTCAACGTCTGCAACCTGAGATGGGCGCATGCTGGCGAGTGGTGCCACGTGTTGCAACCAACGCTCGAAGGCCTGCAACGAGCGGATGGAGGCACAGGAGAGTTTCCGCCTCGAGCTGCTAAGGCATTCAACGCGGAGCCACAATCTTTTGTGCGTCACGGCGACTTTGGACAAGTCTGCAAGGGTTGTGAAAGGCACATGACGAGCCGAGAGGAGCTTAGCGCCCGCGGGGATGGCAGTGTGAGGAGGTGAGGCCTTAAACCTGAGTGAAGAATCAAGGAAACTACAGATGCTATGCCACGATTCCGGAGCAATGCTGAAATTAGTGGCAGCCGGAGACCAAAGGTCTTTGTAGAAAGGGTGCATCATGGCACGCATAGTGGGGAAGAGTGCACAGGCCCACATGGCAAGGCCCAGAAAGGATTCCAGTTCCTTGGTAGAGATACGGCCCCCGCCCCTCAGAAGGGAACGCACTTGTTCAAGGAGCCGCAAGCGTTTTTCTTCCCTGAGACTAACCGTACCCGAAGAGAAGCACAACCGCCATCCAATCCAATCGACCCGGCAAGAAATTTGTAATTTTTTCCAACTGACTGGAACACCAGGATCTGAAGAAAGAGGCATATCACAGCTCCCGAGAGCGGCATGAGGCTGGCCGCTTGGCTGAAAATGAAGTCGTCCACGAAAAGGAGGCCCACATGGGCCAGGAACAGCAGGGTATGTAACAGGCGCAAAGTGCACCCTCCCACGCGACCCCACCAATGCTGTGAGAAAACTGCTCCGAATGGGCAGCAGCGAAAAAAGTATAGCGCGTTGTGCCAAGTGAAGCCGAGCAGGCCCTGCTCGGAGTCGCGGATGCGGCAGCGCTTGTGCGCCTGCTTGACATCAATGCAAATGGCCATCTGGCGGTCGGAAGTCTCGCGAATCGGGAAAGAATGCGAAACATCGTGTATGCTCGGGAAACATTGACGTTCCGGCACTGTGCACTGAGAATTGGTCCCAGCTACGCTGTTGTCCAACACGAGTCGTTCGGCCCTCCCCGGAGCCCTAACAACCCCCAATTTTCCCAGTGCTAGGCCAACGGGCCATCTACTTTTCGCCTCCTCAAGTGTGCCTTCAAACTTAAAGCAGTATCCCGCGTCCAACTCCTCTTGAAGCAAGCGCGAAGTGACCTCAGGAGCCACATCGGCCGACTTCCAGTTTTCAAGATTGAGCGCCAATGGAATCAGCTCCCCTGATTGGCCTTTGGGAGGCCAGAAACAGTTGGAAGGGGGGATGTCATTCAGGTACCCGGTTGGCACACCCATACGCAAATGCGGAAACAGATGAATGTCCTGATCGCCACAATGTTGTGCCAGGGCTTCAAATGCGTGCAAGCACATGGGTTGGTATGGATGCACATACCAAGCGTTATCCGGGGTCTGCATACCCAGCGAAGGAAACACCAGATCCCTGGCTGCGGACACTTCGGAAGAGCTGAAAAGCGGTTCATTCGACGGGCAGGAACCGCGAGCAAGCAAGCGTTTGTCGGCTCGAGCTGAGATGCAGAATTGCAACAGGGCTTTGCGTAATCCCCGAAATGCATCATGGCTTGCAGGGCTGCTCCAATCGGCAATGGAGCGTTTTCCAGCACCATCATGAAGTGCATGTGGGCCTGCGAAAAGGCCTTTGCGTGGGATAGACTTGATGACTGACTGCAGGGATAGCTCGCGGCCCTCTGCCGGGAGCAGAGGGGCAGCGATCGTGGCAAACGAAGATGCAAATGCACTTGCGCATTGCGGGGGAGCGAAGGCGGGCGAGCTGACCGCCAGGGCGGAAAGCGGGCGGTAAGAAGCAGCCAAGAGCTGGGGCTGGCACGGAATAGCTGAGTCTGAGTACAGCAATGGGGGTATCAAGACCAGAGCACAGTTTCCCTGATGCAGCCAGGCCTGGGGCCGCTCAGACGACCAGTAAGAAGAAGTGGGGGGCAATTCCAAATGCCCTTGACCCCCTGCAGTGTGTACAATGCTGAGGAGCCAGGTGCAACGGGAAACCTTTGCCGCCGTCGTTTGCTCGTGCATTGCCGATAGCAGCCACGAGGAGGAACCCACGTCGTCAGGCGAGTCTGCTGACTCGGCTAGTGGCGATGCTGCAAGATACGCGACCGCTCCCGAGCCGCAAAGGAAGAGGACCTGCTCGAGGAGGTCTGGGCAAAGGACATCCAGGGTCGGGTCAAGGCTGGGGCTTAGAGTGAGGGAGTTTCCACCTGAAGCACGGACAGCCATGCTAAGTTGATGGCGCGAGTGATTGCTCCATGTGATCTCGAGAAAAAGACGCGCCTGGAGGGAAGAAATGCAAGTATCAGCTCGCCAAGCGCCCTCCGGTGGTGACAAGGGGCGTGCAACCCTAAGCTTGTGGGAGAGAAACAAACCTGACGTGGAGCGTTTTCCCCACAGTTTGCATCCCAGTGGCAGCTTAGACGATGCCGAATTGGAATGGACTGTATGTTCCCTGCACGACTGAGGTTCGTGCTGCTTAGTAGTCGAGACGGCTTCCGGGACTCCGGGCATTGGCTGTGCTGAAGGGAGATGCTGCGCAGGAGGAACATCTGCGGACGCCTCGGAGGCTGACCCAGGGTTGCCACTGGATGGAAACTCCTCCTGAATGTGCGTCCCTGCTAGTAAGTGCGATGAAGTGATGTCTGCTTCCTCGAGCCCCGCGGGCGAGGTGGGGGAGGCAGAGGGACTAGGGGCAGGACTAGAACCCAAGAGGGGAGACGGCAGTGGGAAACCCAGAAACTCAAGTTCGGCACAACACACGTCAGGCAGGGAAAAGGCTGTGAGGGCCCAACGCTCTCCTGAGAAAGGAAGTGTCATGTGTCTAATGCGGCCATCGAAGCTAATGGCTTTGCGATGTGTGTCGATAGCACAGCCATGCAGCCAGCCCGAGCCAGATGCAACTGATGTCGGCTGGCCTTGCGAGAGGCAGGAGAGGTCCTCAATCCACAGATGGCCACCCGAGAAGGCGCCCAGCGAGAGTGACAAATTGCGTGAGCCAGGAATGTTCGCTGAGTCGGAATGCAGCGCACTGAGGCCATTGCGCGAGACACACAAAGCGTTCCAGTGCTCGTTTGGAAAGAGGAACCTGAATAGGGCATTCAGGTCCCTGCAAAGCTCAGGCAGGGCGATGGTGACCTGAGTAAGTGAAGAACGCCTAGAAAGCTGAACCCCGAAATTAAAATAGCCTGAAGCAGAAGAGGCACCGGAAATGATGTGAGCACGGCGAACCTGTTGGGGCCAAGGGGCTTCCCGCAATGAGCACAAAATGCAATCGAAGAGGCCTGCCAAGGCCGGCCCACAGAAATTGGAAAATTCAAGTGCGTGACCCAAAGGGGCGGTACCGCTGGCGGGCGGAATCGGCGCAATGGGAGTGCTTGAAGTGCATGTGGAGGGGGCAACGTCCCCCGAAGGCACTGAACCAGTATGATGCACGGAGGGTACGGCCTCCTGAGGCGGTGACACAGAAACTGTACAATCGGCAGAGAGGGGTTGTGGCGGCAGTGGCGGAAAGCTGAAGTCCAAAACTTGCGAGCCCCGGGGGGCTTGCTGTTGCGATGGTGGAATCGGCGGTGGCAGTGGCGGGGGAGCAGGCAGCTCCCCCCAGCTGTGGATGGACCCGGCAACACTTGTGGGTGGCGAGTCGGGCGCATGATGTCACTTCTCAGGGTGCTGAGGCGCACCGTGGTCCTTGCTAAGGCAGGGTGAACCATCGGGCTTAGGGAAGGCGCAGCCGTGCGTGAACTCGCAGGAGTTGCCACGCTGGCATTTCCCGATCTGCCACCCAATGCACAATTTTTTCACCTGGCCGCCCTCCTTGTACTCGCGAACCCACGGAACGCCCCTAGGCTGGGTGCCTTGCTTGGTGGGGCTCTTGGCTTTCCCCTTTCCCTTGCCATTGCCACGACCTGGCGGTGGGGTGGGCGGGCGGTTGTCACGGCCGCCCGGTGCATACGGCCTACGATTGCCTGCCGAGGCAGCTTTGGCGCGGGGCTGCAGCCATGACGACATATCGCCACGGATCTCCGTGAACTCGTAGATCGCATCATTCACCTGCCATTCTTTCTCGATCACAAGTTGAAAGATGCACGACCACAAGTGTTTGTCCGCCTGCTGAGCTTCCAGCACAGAGGGGGGCCGAAGGTTTGTTTCTGGCGGGAATTTTTGCGAAACCAGGCTCAAGAACTTAGAGGTGTAAGCTTTGAGGCGCGCAAGATGCGCGGTGCCTGCAAGAGCGAGGGCATTGTCATGCACCTCCAACAGCCTACGGATCATTGAAATCCCCATGGTGGAATCATTGATATCAATCTGTGGCGGTTCATCAAGCAACAGGTCCGAAAGCTGAAGGGTCTCAATCCTGGCCCTTTTTGCGGGCTTCTGCATGAGGGAATCCTCATACATCTGTTGCGTCATGCGACTCTTCCACGGGATCCAAGACCAGTTCTTCTTAACCTCGGCGTCGACAGCAGTGCTCAAGAGGCGGAGCGAGGGGGTATTCATAGCCGTCAAGATTTCGGATGGGAAGGCTTCCAAGAAACGTTTTTTGAGTGTGGCCACCCGCGTTGCATCAAGCTTGGGCGCGAAGGCTTCCGACCATCCCGAGCCCTGCTTGGCCGGGGATCCCAGCGGTTCTGCAGGAGCAGGATCGTTACTACCGCGTCGCTGCAGCGACGACCAGACGGCTCGCAGCTTGGCACGCTGCATCAAGGACACTTCAGTGTCCGGGAACATCTCAGGGAGGACCCCCGCAAGCTCAGATTCCTGGCAGACAACATGGCGAAAAGATTTCGCATCCCAACCGTCGGCGAGCAGCCGATCCGTGAGCTCCTGGCTGATGCCGTGATCCTGAAGGAGCTGATTGAAGCTTGAGGCTCCCTCTGCTTTAAGCGGGCACGGTGAAGGATTCACCAGATTGAATGATCCATCCGCGGATTTAGCATCGAACAATTCATCTGCCATGGTGCGAGAGCAGCGGTCGGCAAAAACTACCGTTCGGGCCTGAAGCGGCTGATCGAGGGCAGACCCGTGTCCTGGCAGGCTCAATGCAAAGAAAATGGAATGCATGAAGAAAACATGTGCAAGCAGAGTGCGAGCGCATACCGATACAAGACAAAGGCAGCAAACTGCACTTTTACTAAGCTTCCAGAGCAGCGAATGCATTGACACAGGCATTTCGCCTGCAGAGAACATGTTTGGAACTAAGAGAGTGGACCGACTGCCAACGTGGGCCCGACATACCGATGCCACAAAGTGTCCTCTCACCTGACGGGCATGCGGCGTGCACAACGCCTGTTGCGGCGACCATGTGCACCTCATCTGGGGGGCCGAGCGACGCGGGCCCTGCCTCGGACTCAAGACTTGACTCAGATCCAGCCTCCGATGCGGAGTCGGGCAAGGAGGGCTCGGCAGCCTTGGTGCTGGCCTCTGCAGCAGGTGTTTCCGCAGCACATGCCGAAGATTGACCGGGAACCCAGGGGAGCGACCCGGGGACACCAACATCGAAGGAAAAGAAACCCCACGGTGCAGGATCGATCTCTTTGCTGAAGGCTTCCAAAGTAAAAGGGATCGGTGCCATAGGCAGCTGTGCTCCACGGTGCAATGGCGTCCTTGGGCGAAAATCCGCCAAGACAGCAGACCTCAATTGTGTCTGAGCGCGGAGCGCCCCTAGCACGTCATCTCTGCTGTAGAGTTCCCTGCTACTCCCCCTATGATGTCCTTGAGCGTCCCTGTCTGGGCCGCGGATGTCCGGCACCTCAAGCATATAACTTAAGAGGCTACACTTCATGGAGTGCACCGTATAGTTAGATACGGGCACCTCGGGTGGAGACACCATCCAAGGAAACTGCAAGTAATAGCGCAACCAGCGCAAGCATGAAGGGTAACTCATCGGCTCCAGGGGCCGGAGCAACTCGGCGTCATCGTCCAGTGCCGGAAACAGAAAGCTAGGAGCCACCTCAAAGTCGCGCACCTCCTGCGAAGCGATGGAATCAAGAACCCGGAGCCACCTAGCCACCCAGGAGTGTGTGCCATGATGCAAGAAGCCTTGAGTGATTAGGCCGAAGGGTTGGCCCTGATGCGAAGTTTTCGTCTGGTATGCAATGGCCCGAAGCGAAACCACGTCGAAAGCAAATGAGCTCCATTCGATGCGCTGGCTGTCAGCAAAGCGAAGACTCGCCCAACATGTGACCAAAAAAGCACCGAGCAGTACTATGTCCCGCACTGGGGTGGAGCGCTGAAGGATGCGCCGTTCCCACTGCACAAGAGCATACAGCGGCAGGGGTAGGCTCTCCCTGCGGTCCTTAGGCAGTTTGGTCTTCAAGAAGGATGAAATCAGCTCGCCATAGAAAACCTCAAACACAATGCACTGGGTGTTCTTGCAAACCCACCGTACGGCCTTGATGCAAGTGATTGCCGACGATCCGACAGTCGGATCCTCCTGTCTTTGAAGCTGCAAAGTGACCAAGATGTCGGCCGCTTGCACTGCAGTAATCTCAAGAAGACACACATCCAAGTCCTCACAAGCTTTAGCAAAGGAGTTAAAGGTAGTGATGTACCTGATGACAGTCGTTGCGGCAAAACCTGCAAGTACACGGCGCACGTGTGCATCGAAATGCACTGCTGATTGGATGGCGGAGAAAAAGCTGGATTCAGACCCCAAGAAGGCAAGAAGCTGCAGCATGAGGTTCACAGCAATCTGAGAGCAGGCCGCTGAGTGTGCACGAATGGCCTGCATCCCGCGACCATCCTGCTTGCTGGCGCGCGGGCGCTTGTTCGATACCGACACCACCATTCCTTGCGGATTGGGCAATGGAGGTGCAGCCTGAAGCTCAGGCAAGGCTTGAAACGGCGGTGTGAAAGGGGCTGCGCGGGCCGGCAGTGCCGGGGGCCTCAAATGCACGTGCCGATTCACAGGTGGGCAGGGAATGCCCGACTCGGGGAGGGGCGGTGCGGACCTAAACCGAAGATACCCGAAGGAGGGAGGGGGACTAGGCCTAGAGCCAACCCCAGGCAGTCTACGATCAGCATATGGGCCACCACGTGGCCCGCCCAAGCGAGACCTGTCATCAGGGTCAGTGGGCCTGGAGGACATCTCGCCAGCAAAGCCCCTTAATCCAAGGAATCCAAAAAGCTCGACCCGTCCGGGCAGCACGGCCCGTCAGTGCAGTCCGGTTCACCTTCAAGCCGAGTAAGGCGCTGTTGCAAAATCACAAACTGGTTCTGCAGCCTAAACTGATTCTCAAGCAGAAGGTCAGCACGCTCGTGCAGAGCAGTCAAAGCTTCAAGGGTGTCGTCCCTGAAAGATTGCAGTGCTTCGATGAAGTCTGATCTCGCACTATCGACGTCCTTTTTGGCTTCCACAGAGGCACCACGAACCAAGCTGAGCAGCGAGCACTCAAAGTACTGACGGAACTCTTCAAGCTCAGCACGGGACACCATGCAAGAATGACAGATCACTCAAGAGGCAAGAGGTGCCTGCCATGCACCCCCCCTTGTAGGGGGCGATCGCGCTACCCAGGCCACGAGGAGCTAGAAGCCTTGGAATTAGCCCCCGGAGCCTGCTAGACAGCACTACAGGACTCAAGAGAGGCCCAAAATCAAAATTGCGAAGCGACTTCGCTGCAACTTGATCCAAAGCGGAGTGCGGATGCACAGAGCTTCACGACATGTACCGAGGCAAGACGATGCAGGCACTGGCAAAAGCGAATAAAGGAAAACTTTCCAGTTTTACCAAAAGAAAGGAAACCGTTTTCCATTTGCAAAACACCAGTGGACAAGTCCACCCGTACAGCTTTCACTTGACTCATGTGCAGCGACACAGCTCCACGTGTAAGGTGCACAAACAGGCTGTGAAAGATTATTTAAAGGCCTTGGGTTTGCAGAGTGAAGGGCCTGAAGACGAAAGCTGTTTTTTGAACCGTGAGCAGTTTCATGCTGCCGTGCAGAAGACATGGGACGGCTGCAGAAAGGGTCATTCTTTTCGAAGCCTGGCAGATGATGACGTGGGTTCAAAGTCACGTGCTGGTCGACTTGTTGAGGTCATGGGATGCGCATGCCTTGCAGAGGAACAAGAATTTCTCCGGGATTCTGATGTTCTGGCTTTATACCAAGACGTCCGGGCTGGCATGTTGTGCATCCGATACTCTGCAGTTTCGCTAGACTCACAGCTTTGTCGTCACGGTGTGCTCGGCATTTGTCATAATGCTGGCACAAAAAGCTTGGATCTCGTCGAAGCGATGGACAAAGTGATTGGCAGCTTTTGTACGCTAGATTGTGATTCTGGTGACATGGATCATGAGCTTCGACAGCACATATGCGAGCATGCTGAATTTTTGCAGGCTGATGGTGCAAGTGATGAACAGCTCACAATGCGATTTGCGGAGCAAGACTTGCTGACGAATGTGCGACTGCTTGACAGGGATCCAACGCATGCAGCACGCCGATTGCTTCGAAACGCATGGCGGGCGGACCCTTATTTGGAATCAGTCTTAGACCAATACATCACGTCACCGGAATCTATGACGGCACTGATCCAATACTCCGCAGACCTGAAACATTTGTTCGAAGTTGCAGTGCTGAGCGATGACAACGCTCCATTTTCAGTCCGAAACCTCGGATGGGCGGCACACCGATTCGATTCCATGACGCGGCCTCTCTCGCGCTTTATCGTACTATTCGATTCTATCTGGGCATGCGGGATCGATGTGTGGAACAAGCGAAAGGGAACTCGCCCTGGCGAGAGGGCACATTCCTTCTTATCCGAAAGCAGCGCAGAGTCTTTGCTACAGCTGGCGATGTTAGCAGACGGGTCAGCCGAGACCCTTGACCTAGTGCGATTCTTCGACAGGGAGACTTTCGACTCCGCTTCCGTGGCCGAAACGTTGACACAGTTTAAACACCGACTGGACACGCTTTTTGTTCAACGAGAGGTGTTGCAGTGCCCGGGTCACACGACTCACATCATAGCTTTGTTGAGAGCTAAAGAAAAAACAGCAGTGTTGAAGCATGGTGTCTTGAAAGTCCTGGGTGGTCCTGACAGCATTCCTCTTGATCTTATCGACCGCTGCATTGCTCGCATGTGCAATTGGGTAAAGCTGGTTTATGCCCGTATTGCTGCAGAATTTCCCAACCACGACCTGGTGAACAGTATGTCGGTTTTCAATTTGGGGGACAGCCTTGAGGCTGCAGAGCAGACGGGAAATTATGCGGACACCATGAAAAAAGCACGACAGGAAAGCTTGCTGCGCCTCTCGCAGGCCTTCGGTGTGGCAGTGGATGGACCCAATCAACAGGAGTTGTTTCGACAATACATGAACTTGCGACGGAATGCTCTGCATTTGCTGAGGACGGGCAAAGCTGCGTCCAACGCAGAGGCGTGGAGATTGGCCAGGTCTAAGCTAAAAGACAAAAGATTGAGTCATCACCCAACACACTTGATCGATGTCGTGCTTTGCCGCTACCAGTGTCTTAATGGCTTCACAACAAGTGGTGTGGAGCAATCGTTTTCTACCTTCGTGCGCACCTTGGGTGACTACCGGATGCACATGCAACCGTCGTTGCAAGAGCATCTCCTGCGTGTGGTGCTCGCAGCAGAAAGCTGCATGAGCAAAGGGTTCAAGGCGATATGCGAGCAGATCTGGACACTCCGCTTCCACGAGTTTCGAAAACCCATCAAAGATCGCTTTCGGCGCGAACCAAGTGCTAGCAGCAATGCCAAGACAGAGACATCATGGCAAAACCAGCGACGCTCGGCACTGCGTGCTGCCGCCGCAAGCTCTTCTGTCCGGGCCGAAGAGGATGTCTCACAGGACGCAGCTGGGGTTGGTCGTCACTTTTGGCAGCCTGGACACAATGAGGAAATGAAAGTTCTGGAAAACTTGGCCAAGGATGCCAGGCTGGAAGCCTATGCTCGAAACCATTTGCTGCAGACGGAAATTGGTGACGATGGTGAGGCCCTGTGCCAGGATCTGCAAGCCAGGCAATCCAAGCGAAAGAAGCAGGAAGATGAGCACCGGCGTGCATTCGAGAAGATGCGCCGTCTGGCCAAAAGGCCTGCGATGGTTGTTGATGCTAGCGTGTATCTGCATTTGGGGAATGCGCAACATGCTCTCGACGACATGGCTTCAGCAATGACACGCCAAAATTTCACTCTGTCTGAGGAGTCGGAGGTTCTTTCTAGTGATTATCACGTGGTGGCGAGACTCGATGCAGCTCCCGTGCAGGCTCGACTCGCTGCTGCTTTGTGTGGTACTGCCTTGTGCAACATGATGTACATCACAAGTAGTGGGAAAGACGGCACATGCATTGCAAACAAGAGGGCTTTGTCAATACAGAGGCGGATTTGGATCTCTGAGCCTTTCTTGTTGGAAAAGCCGGCAGAGGCGGATCTCCTGCTGCAGGCTATCAGCATCAATGGAAGCAATTGGCGAGTTGTGCCAGAACAGACTTGGTTCATCACGCGCTGAATGGAGGGCCCATGAAGTTCCTTGCTTTAGTGTCCACAGAAGAGAAGGACCGACAGTGTCATATCACATTATAACAGTGGGTGTTCGGTCTTGGGTTTCGATGCTTGGCTTGACTTGCACTATAGTGAGTCCACGACACTATACTCTTCAATGTCACAAACACAGAATCAGACTTTGGGCTAGGAGATTGTACATCAAAGTTCACGGCTCGGGGTAAGTCGAACGATGTGGTTTCAGCTTCCAGGAGTCAGATTACAAGGACATCAGGAACGCGATGACTTTCGACTCATTCCTCTCCTGGATCGGGGACATCGATGCTGTCAGATGCGCGCACGGTGCTGCAAACCGCTGAAAACGAAATGCTCGCCTGCCAGCTTTGAAGCCCAGCTTGGTAGCACGGGGGCAGTTAGTACGAAAGCCGTGTTGGTCTGCAGAAGCTTATTGAATTAATTTGAATAGGATGACTAGCTAGTCAGTTCGGTGCCAGCAGCAGTGTATCATCCGATTTGCCAGGCCGGCAGTGGTGTCACACACTGGCCAGGGCCCCAATATGGCCCTTTGAGAGTTTGCCCCAGTCTGTGGCAGTTTTCGCCACCCTGCATGTGCATGCTTTTGTGTGTGAATAATTTAATGAAGACGTATGCGAGGCTGGCAACAGGTTGAGTCGAAGCACTGGGAGAGTGCATAGTGAAAGTGCCCATGTCGTGATGCCTGGTGCGTTTGCAGTTTTGTGGCTGCGCTAAGTACGTAGACTTGCCCCGTAAAACAGCACGCCGCACGCACTGTCATGGCGAAGCTCGACAAGACAGCCGATCTGGGCCCTGCAGCTGGAGATGAAGTTGTTGTCCAGCAGCTGCACGATTTGAGCAATTTGCTTTGCCGGCCCTATCATGTGGTTTTGGAAGACATTCGTCTCGTTTCGACAGTGAACAAGATGTGTGCAAGCTGCAGTGCCGGATTCGTGAAGCCCTTCCTAAGCACCAGGGAGCAGAAGCAGCTTAAGGCAGTGAGTAGCGACTGCCGTTGTGACCTGACACGATGATTTGGCTGGAGATGTGTCACATTTAGTGTCCTCAGCTTCTCATTAATTAGTCTTGGACAAGGCCGAAGAGCCTCTGGACGATTGTGAAGAGGCTGTGATGTGAGTGAAACTCATTGTCATTGAATCAGTCAGGGGCCCGAGAGGCTTTTGATCGACGAGGGGCTTTTGGTGTTTTGACCTGACTGAGGCCTTTCAGGAGGCCTTTTGAATCAGGGGGGGCTTTTGACCGAAGGGGGCGAGGATGCCTTTTTGACCGAAGGGGGCGTCTGTCAAAAAGGGCCTTGGTGGGGCTCTTGGGAGGGCTTTGGGGCTGCTTTTGGGGGCTCTTGCTCCTTCGGATTGTTCAGGTCAATGATTCTTGGCGAGCACTTTGCAAAAGACCTCAGAATCCGATTCAAAGCTGTTGCGTTGGGTTTAGTAGAATCGGGTGACAGAGGGGTCGGGGACGGCGCAGCTTTTCTGAACTTTGCAGGGGGCGTCTGTCAAAAAAGGGCTTCTCGGGTGGCTTTTGCGCGGTTTGGGGCTGCTGGGGTCTCTTGGGAGGGCTTTGGGGCTACTTTTGGTTTTTGGGGGCTCTTGGGAGGGCTTTGGGGGGGGCTTTGGGGCTTTTGGGAGCTATTGAATGGCCAAGTCAATGATTCTTGGCGACTCTTGAGCTGGCTCCTGTGTCGGTCCTTCGGATTGTTCAGGTCAATGATTCTTGGCGAGCACTTTGCAAAAGACCTCGGAATTCGTCTCAGAGTCTGTCAACAAAGCCTTCTGGGGGCGGGGGGCTTTTGCGTTTAAGGTGTGTCACCAGCACGATTTGGGTGGCACCGGCAGTGAGCCCGGATGTCAATGCAAGAGCTTTGGGAGAGTATGCTTTGGCATCATGAGCACCGCGAGCCACGCAGCAGATTTCCAAGGCTTGTTCTTTGTTGCAGAGCCTGTCCCAGTCCATCCCCAACCCCAACCACTGGCATGTCCAACCAAGGCCAGACTTGCTTGGCCTCAGCACGGGCGCTGGTTACGGCAGGCGGAGCACAGCCACAGTCACGGCTGAATATAATACTTTACATGGAAGGAACTGAGCCACTTCACAAACATGTGTGAAGCATCAATGCAGGATATACTTGAATGTGATTGCTTGTGTCAACACGCAGCAGCAGGATTCCAGTGTAGACGTTCTTTTCCGCTGGAGCAGTTTACAGATTTCAAGAATCTGACATCAGAACAGGATCTTCTGTCTGTATCCATCGTTCGGTAGCTATCTGCACAGATGTCCATCTACGTAGAATAACTTCGTTTGTGGATGGAGCATCGCAGCTGCTGACTTAAAAGTGCAGCAATGTCGTGGGAGAAGCAAGGCTGGCAGGAGGAGGACCCCTGGCAGGAGACGAACCCCTGGCAGGAGACGAACTGCTGGCAGGACGACTCCTGGCAGGACGACTCCTGGCAGGACGACTCCTGGCAGGAGAACCCCTGGAAGGACGACGACTCCTGGCAGGACTCCTGGTGGGACGACGAGACGTGGATGAAGGACTCTTCGAAGTCTTGGAAAGACTCCGGGTCCTGCCAGTGGCAGGATGAGCAGCAGGAGTCTCAGGACTGGCGCCACACCGGCGCCTCAGCCTCCTCTCAAGGCAGTGGCCAGGGTAGCAAGAAGCCGCAGGCCAGCAGAGGACACGGCAGCCTGGACAATCTGAACGCCCGGAATCGCCGGGAAATCAAGCGGTGGCGAGACGACAAGGATGAGCTCGAGAAGGCCCGGTATACCATCCAGAAGCAAGAAGATGTTATCGACAACCTGAGAGGATGCCTCTGGTGCGAGGAGGACAAAACGCAGAAGCTGACCGAGCGAGCAGATTCCTTGAAGAACACAATGTTCGAAATGGCAGACACGATCCAGGAGATGAGTGGACAAATCGATGAGCTAAAAGGAGAGTCTGTGGAATCCATGCGAAGCCGCATGCAAGCCGAGGGCAAGGTGTCAGAACTCCAGCAGGAGCTAAAGAAGCAGAGGAGTCGGAGCACCTTGGAGATTGGCTCGAAAGACCAGGAGTTGAACGACATGCAGGCAAAGCTCGACGCACAGGAAGCCGAGCAGAATGATCGGTTCGCCAGCTTGCACGCTGACTTCAAGAAGTACCAGGCCGGCCGGCCAATGTGCGTCGAATTGGAACATAAGATCTAGATAATAGACGTTCTACAGTTCCGTGACAACATGTTGTGCCAGGAGGTTGCAAGAAAGGCCATTGCGGCGTCCAAAGACCAAGAGGCCGCTGGCACTTCTGTCGGTTTAAGATAGCAGCCTCCTGACAAATGATCGTGCCAGGACTTTCTGGCAGTGAAGTTGCGGCGGATCGAGAAAGACAAGGCAACGAGATCATGCGAGAGTATTTGTGGAGCATCAAGACATTAATGTGTCCGTCCAGGCAAGATACGTGGAGCTCGTCAGCCAGTACGACGAGCACTGGCCAGAGAAGGCCTCAAGACATAAGTGAATTTTCGATGCGCAGAGACGCCCGGATTTGCTCACAGGCACGGGGACGGAAACCGCAGCTACGAAGTCCCACGCCGACGCCGACAGAGGTGGCTGAGTCTGACTGAGGTCCGCTTGCACGAACCTGCACTCTTCCAAGTGATGTGTCCATATCATACAGAGCATGCGAGCTACCGTTACGATAATGGGGACCCTCAGATTCAATCGCTGCAGGAGGGCCTTGTCATTTGGCAACGATGAGGACGAAGGACTTCTTCCCTGCGAAAGTGGCCAAAAAGACGTCATTGATAGCGGCACTGGGAGAGTGCAGAGCTTTGACTTCGACTTTGAGTGCTTGCGCAAGCGTGCTGCAACCTTCATCCTCGATATCCCCTTGACTGAAGCCCTCGTCCGGTCGCAGGTGGCTACAGATGAGACAGCAGACCGTCGACTGGTGGAGGTCGGACAAGGACCCGAGCAGAAGTTCACTTGACACGGTGCACTGGGAGAGTGCACAACACTTCACACACATGCTTGCTTTCGACAGAGGGGAGGGTCAGGGGGAGAGGGAGGCGAGGAGGAGGAGGAGGAGGAGGAGCAAAGATGTGGAGTGGCAGGTGGAACTCGGCGCGGGGTGAACGAAGGGAGGCCAGAAATTGCAGCACGAGGCGAGGGGGGACGGATACGAATGTTGCTTGTAGCTGTTGAACCTTGCTGAGAAGTTTCCCTACGAAGAACACGCCTTGACACACAGCGAGATGTTGCGATAGCAGCTAGCACCTTCCTACAGGCTTGCTCGGCCTGAGTTGTTGATTTCGTGGGGAATGGTTTCTGACAGGTTGCCGACAGTACAGCTTAGCACAGACGATGTAATTTTCATCCTGGACATGCCACCTGGCCACCCCTCATCCGATCGCAGGCGCCTACAGACTCAGAGGTGAGGACCGACGACTGGCTGATGGAGTTCGGGCAAGGCAAGGGCCAAAACAGAATAGAAGTTTATGTTTCAGGCGAAAGGCTTCGATAGATAGACGCAATTCAATTAAAACAGTGCACTGGGAGAGTGCGTAAGCATGTCCAAGCGGAAGCTCAAGCATTGGGAGACTGCCGACTATAATCAAAAGCATTGGCAGACCGCTGTTACTTGATGGCTAGGGCTCTGGCTTGTTGCAGAATAATCCGACAGCGCTGGACCTGGTCCAAACCCCCAGCCCATCTAAAAAACAAACCATCACCAGGAATTCCTTAAGCCGCCCTCTTGCTACCATCGGCTTTCAGCACTCTCTCAGTGCACTCGTCTGCTGAGGGTTCAAAAGCACTCTCACAGTGCCTTCGGCTGTGAAGCTGGGAGAGCACTCTCGCAGTGCTGTCCCAGCCGGCACTCTCTCAGTGCCACTGTGGGTTCAGGGTTTAGGGTTTATGAAGGGCACTCTCCCAGTGCTCCGCCCTGAACCACCCCCAACCAACCCCCAGTGACCTTGTGGAAGCCGTCGGTGT